TGTATTTTGTTATAGACTAGTATAATTATAGGTCTTTTGAGCCAACATAATTAACTTGGTTATTCTTTACAATATATATATATATATATATATATATATATATATATATATATATATATATATATATATATATACATATATATATATATATATATATATATATATATATATATATATATATATATATATATATATATATATATATATGTATATATATATATATATATATATATATATATATATATATATATATCAGACAATAATAAACTGTTTAGCTGATCTTTTTTCTACGTTTGGTATGCCTAGCTATGTTCATCAGGATCATGGATCTTCATTATTGTCTTTTGAATTGAAGCACTGGTTCTTATCAAAAGGGTTAACAACTAGCAGAACAACCCCTTACAATTTGACTGTAAATAAGCAGGTTAAAATATATATATATATATATATATATACATATATATATATATATATATATATATATATATATATATATATATATATATATATATATATATATATATGTATATATATATATATATATATATATATATATATATATATATATATATATATGTATATATATATATATATATATATATATATATATATATATATATATATATATAATAAACATATAAACAAACATATATATACAACAAACATATATACAATAAACATATATATATATATATATATATATATATATATATATATATATATATATAATATATATATATGTTTATTGTATATATGTTTGTTGTATATATATGTTTGTTTATATGTTTATTATATATATATATATATATATATATATATATATATATATATATATATATATATATATATATATATATATATATATATATATATATATATATATATATATATAGAGGGGCTATTCTTGACCATTTAAAATGTTTTGAAACATTCTAGAACAATCTAGAACATTCTGGAATATTCTAGAACATTTTAGACTATATATAGCTGCTCATTTAATTTTATAGTTATTACAGAAGCAACACATGGCGTTGTACAAGCCTAGCGATAGTAGCATTCAGAAGAACAAGTATGCCTGGACCAAAAATCTGGTAAAATTTAAAGACTCATTAAAGAAGAAGAATGGTCTCTTTGGAAGAATAATCACTGGAAGAAAAGTGCAGAATGCCTCTCAAAAAGCAAACTATCAGGCGCTAAAATCCTTGGACCAAAAATCAAAGAAAAAAGGAGTAAATAGCGGAAATTTCTAAAAAAGTCACCAAATTGTGGAAGAAAAAACTAAATTTTCCTCATGTATCTGATCAAGTCATACGAGCAAAGCTTAATAAAATACTGAAATGTTATGATGAATGTGTCAAGTGGGGAAGCTATGAACCCCTTGATGAAATTTTTCATATTACTAAAGTGGATTAAACATGGTTATTTTTAGAGATGTAAGTCGTTTTTTTGGTTCTTGTTTTTTTGCCAAAAAAAAACGTTTTTTTGGGAAAAAAAACGAAGGACTTCATTTTTTGGTTTTTTTGGTTTTTTTGCGTTTTTGCCGTAAAAACTACTCTTTTTGCATTTTAAACACTGAAATGGTTTTAAAATTTATTTTTGGTGATATTTATTAAATACTTGTTTTAATACTTCCATTTACCATATTTTTAGTAATGTCTTAGTTTAGCAATTGTTCAATTATTCAAAAAAAAATTGAAAAAGCAGCATTAATTAGAAAAACAATTTTTTTTTTTTTAAATAATTTTTCATAATAATTCTTATAAGTAAAGACAAAGAAGTAAATTTTTATAAGTAAAGGCCATGAATTGTATCTTTTTTAATATTGAACTGTTCTAAAAATTTATTATATGAATGAAGTAACACTGCATCGCCAAATAAGTCAGATCTGGGAATTTTTGGTGTGAGTGTGAGGGGGAATTAGGGCTTGTTAAAAATTTAGTTTATTTTGTATCACATTTTTGTTTACTAAAAAAAAATTTAAAATTTAAAGATATTTTATAAATTTATGGATTATGGTGCGGGGCGGTAGGTTCATACCTCTTATTTCCCCTGGGTCTGTCACTGGTTTTAAAATTACAAAATTATTTTTCAACTTCTTCAACTTATGTTCATTAAATTTTTCATTAATCCATAATTTTTTTTTGAATAATAATAAATGTATTATTTAATGGAATGAATCAGAATTATCTAAATAAATATTTTTATTATATGAAAGAAATATATTTATTATATAAAACACTGCTTTGCAAAATAAAAAAAGGTAATCATTTTCGTGTTTAATATAAGGAAAATAAATAATTTTTTAGAGGCAAAAATCTTGAAATTTTTTTAAAAAAAATATAACTGTTTAGCCATTTTCCTAATCAAAAAGACAAATATTTTTATACCACTTTGGCTAAATACTCTGTTTACACAAAATTAGTAAACAAATATACCATAAGAGTTTAAAAAAAACGCGACAGCAAAAAAACGTGTTTTTTTGCAACACTAGTTATTTTTCGAGGACAAGCGATTGTACCATTTCCAAGTGGAAAGCAAAGGAACAGCGGGATACTCTACAGGTCAAGCAGCCAGAAAAGAAACAATCTATTCTTCTAAAAGACAAAAACTTTCTAATTAGTCATCTAACTCATCATCTTACTATCCTGGTTTTAGTTATTTTGACTCTGAGGCTGATGACAGTGAATATGAAAACAATGAATAAGATGAGAAAACTCCTACAACAAACAAAAACATCCTAAAAGCAAAATTGCAGTCAACTTGAAGAAATTAAACAAGAATATTAACAAACAAAGCTGCTAGCATATGCAAGCAATCAACTCGTGAGGGCATTGACATCCCAGCTCTATGTCAATCAGCTATTTACAAGTCAATATTTAAAGAGGCAATCAAGCCGAAGGAAGAAATGATTGAAAAGTTGCATATGGAAAGGGGTCGTCCATAAAGTACGTACGCTCAGAGAGGAAGAGGGGGTGTACAAATGGCGTTTCTGAGATAAGGGGGCAGTTGGTCAATTATAAAAGTATGGAGACACTAAATTAAAAAAAATACCATAAAATGTTGGGTTGGAAGGTTAAACGCGTAGATACTTTTCGGGAGGTAGAAAGTAATCAAAAAAGCGTATGTCAACTTGCGGGAGGGGGGAAAGGGGGGCGAAAAAAAAGCGTACGTACTTTATGGACGACCCCAAAGTTGGTCTTTACACTTTTATGGCAAGTACATCAACAGAATGGATTATCAAGTGGTCGTCCTTAAAAATGAAAAAAAAAGAAATCAAATTAGATGTCCTTGGCTTGGTAGAAGGGCTTTAACTATTGCTAGATGATTTCACCCATGGAAATCAATACAGATGATTGTTGCAGATACCACCAGCGTTAACACTGGGAAAAAAAATGGTGTTGTTGTAATATTGCAACAAATGTTTACAGAGAAACGCATCACAAACCTCAGTTTATCAGTTGTCAACACCATGTATATAGATAGAATCCTCCATTTGGTGATGGATGAAGAACTTGGTAAAACATAATCGCCAAGCATCAAATATCCATATGTATCTCAACTGATGAAGGAGTACGAAAAACTGAAAACATTTATGATGGTAGAGTAGAAGTAACTCTCGAAACATCAGGCTGGTGAGATGATATGAAACTTTTGCTTCATCTCCTCATCTCACTTGAGTGTTTCGATTTTTTAAAGGAAATAGGACATTTTCCATTGATCAGGTTTCAGAAAATACCCAACATCAGCAATATGAGGTGGCACTCCAGAGCTATACTACCGATTCTGGCCTTCATTTTAATTTCTTTAACAAGGACAGTTCTGCAGAGAATCTCGATTTATATTGTATGGCAGAAAACTTATATTGTATGGCAGAAAATGAGCAGACCATTGGTTTACAGACCAACTGTACAACGAAAACGACTTTAATAACTTGGCTGAAAAACTGAATCCATACAAAAAGACTTTAAGCTCTTTGAAAAATTAAAGGAAGCAAAAACCATCTTTACTACAGATACCCAGTAGTAACCAATGCGCAGAGTGCGCAATTCAAGTTATGGAGGAAATTTATTCATCATGCAAAAATAAAGACAAACTGCACCTTCGATTCCTTCTGTGCAACAAGCAAGAGCAAGGTCAACGGTCTGAGTCATTGTTGGATTGAAAATTTATTGTACTACATGACTATGACATTCTAAATACATTTGAATACATGACAGTGAATATGAAAACAATGCTTATGTCTGTACTTATGTCAAAATCGTTTTTCAATGGCGGGGTGAATTTTTTGGATGTGCAAGTAATAGTTCATTTCATGCTTTTTAGGTAAAAGTTCATCAAACACAGTACAGAAGCACGGAGTCAATAAAAAGTCATAACCCTAATATATATATATATATATATATATATATATATATATATATATATATATATATATATATATATATATATATATATATATATATATATATATATATATATATATATATATATATATATATATATATATATATATATATATATATATATACATACACAGTAAATATACATTAAAAGTAAACAAATAAACAAATTTAGAAGACAGAATATATATATATATATATATATATATATATATATATATATATATATATATATATATATATATATATATATATAATTAGGAAAATTGAGGTCGACAATAATTTGCCGACTTCAATCTTTTAAAGGTTGGCATCAGGTCAGCAAATATTAAAAACAATTGAAACGAGGTCGGCAAAACTGAATTTTTTTTGCCGACCACAAACACATTTAGGTCAGGAATTAGGTTGGCATTGTTGAATGCCTCCAAGGTTATATATATATATATATATATATATATATATATATATATATATATATATATATATATATATATATATATATATATATATATATATATATATATATATATATATATATATATATATATATATATATATATATATATATATATATATATATATAATAAAATGTTATCTTACCATAATTCTTTTTTTTCTTCTTCTTAGAATCAGATTTCTTTTTGTAAATCCCCTAATAAGTGATTTTAAATTATGATTTTCTTCTGATAACTTAAAATTCTCTAGTAAAATCAATGAAGACTTTTCAACTTCTAATTTTCTGTTATTTTTCAAAATGTCTATTTCATTTTCAAATGTTTTTAATTTTTTTTCACATTTTAAATACTTTGTAAGGTATTCATCAGCTTTTTTTTTTAAAATTGCTATAATTTCAGATTGATGGTCTAGGCGTAACTTCACTTCTTCATTTTCTTTATCAAAATCAACATATGTATCTAAATTCTTTAGCATGGCAATACTGTTTTATCCTAAATGTATTTTTAAACTTAATGAAATTTTAAGACTTTATTGTTGCCATTGTTTCTCTGATGCACTAATCTGTTAATGTATGCAAATATATCAACTAATTTAAATAAGGATTTTTTATCTAAAAAATAATAATATTTAAAATATTCACCTCAAACTTTTAACAAGACAACAAAATATTAAAATAAAATTTTTCAAGTTTATAGAAAATTTTTATGATCTGATGTTTAGTTAATGTATGTATATTTTAAAAAATGAAATTTACATCTTTGACTGGATAAAACAACTAGTAATGAAAAATAATTTTAAAAAAATACAACTGATTTGAGTAAACAAAGTACTAATATATTCTACTCATTTCAAATTTTAAAATACTGAATTCATTCCACACACTTTGACAACAAAAAAAAAGCAAATTAAAAAAAAAAAAAAAATATATATATATATATATATATATATATATATATATATATATATATATATATATATATATATATGTATATATATATATATTTGAATATATATATATTATATATATATATATATAATATATATATATATATATATATATATATATATATATATATAATATATTATATATAAGTATATATATATATATATATATATATATATATATATATATATTTAAAAATCTTCGCTTCCAACAAGGCTGCAAGCAACCACTAATTAGTGTTGGAAGTTACTGGAAGAGAAAAGATGAAGATTGTAGAGAAGATGACGATTGACAGACAACTTAAAAGATTGCAAATTATATGAATCAGGAAAACAAGATGAAGGAAGCGAATTCCAAAGAACTGATGTTCGAGGAAAAAAACTATACGAGTAAGAGTTTTTGGAGCACTTAGGAACAGTAACAGAAAAAGGATGAGACTTATTGAATGACGAGTAACATGAGAATGAACTTTAGTAGATGGCACAAGAGACGCTAGCTTTTTAGAGCAGTGCCCATTATATTATTTGTAGAAAAGAGAAAGAGAAGCAACATTACGACAATGTGACAAAGGTTGAAGGTTGGCTGCAAGAGCAGGTCCAACTAGGTTTACAATGTGTTTTTACACCTTGTCTAAACGAGAAAGGGCATCATTAGAAGATCTGCCCCAGATATGGCAACAGCATTCCATACAAGGCCGGATTTAAGATTAACAGAGATAGAGAATAGAATTCAGAATAAGAAAGTGTTGAGCTCGATAAAGAGAAGCAACCTTAGCAGATGCTAATTTTGCAACGAATTTGATATAAGTTTTCCAAGATAGATCAGAAGTAAGAGTTAATCCTAGAAGATGAAGGGTAGGAGACTCATCGAGTACATTACCGTTCATAAATATGGGAAGGTCTAAATTATTGCGATAACCATTGGCTGAAAAAAATTGAGTTTTATCAGAATTAAAGTTCACCAGCCACTGTGAGCCCCATGCTGTAGCAGAAGTGAGATCCTTTTCAAGCTCAGATGCCCCCTGCAAGCAATCAGAAGGAGTTAGCTTCTTATCGTGACAAGAATAAATGGTAGTATCATCAGCGAACAATGCCACCTTAGGTGTGAGATTATCTGGAAGATCGTTAATGTAAATTAAAAAGAGTATAGGGCAAAGGATTGAACTTTGAGGAACCCCTGAGGTTACAGAATAAGAAGAAGAGTGCTGTCCATCAAGGACAACTTTTATACTACGATTGGAAAGGAAGGATTCAATAATCTTAAAGATGTTTCCAGATACACAGTAAGAAAAAAGCTTATGGAGAAACCAGCATGCTAAACTTTATCGAACGCTTTAGAAATGTCAAGAGCGATGGCCTATATATATATATATATATATATATATATATATATATATATATATATATATATATATATATATATATATATATATATATATATATATATATAAAGTATTTATAAAATATTTTTTTATTTTATTTATATAACTATGTATTTTTTATGAGAAATATTTAACTTTTGAACATATTAAAAAATAAAAAATATATAAAAATGTTGAATCAAAGATTGAAAAGGTTTTTTAATGCGTAAATAAAATAGACTAAGCATTTTAGCTTGATCAGTTTTGTTTTAGATGCGTTATGTATATATATTTATTTTTTTTGTGTTTTTGCTTTAAGTATTTTTTTTTAATTTTCTCTTTCGTTAAGATTTATTTATTTTTAAAAAAATTTTTTTTCAGATAAGTTTAGGTAAGTTTTTGTAGCGCGTTTTTAAATTTTTAAAAATATGCCGTGGTCAAATCGTTAAAACATTTTTTTTTTGCGTGGTCATATAAAGATATGAAATCGCACGTCTTCCTGTGAAAGCCTGTATATATATATATATATATATATATATATATATATATATATATATATATATATATATATATATATATATATAGTATATATATATAATATATATATATATATAATATATACATATAATATATATATATACATATATATATTTAAATATTGTGTGTCCAAGCCCAATACATACATATATAAATATATACATGGATGCATACATACATACATACATTCATACATACATACATACATACATACATACATACATACATACATACATACATACATACATACATACATACATACATACATACATACATACATACATACATACATACATACATACATACATATATGCATGCATGCATAGATACATACAATGCATGTATGCATGTATTTGTTGTTTGAATTACACACAACCAGGAATGCGGAGTCCCAAAAAGGACTCTGGATTTGAAAGTCACAAAAGGATTACTTCATCTTAGTTTTTGGTATCCAGGAGCTCTTAAAATATAAGTTTATGGACTACTATTAGGAAAAAAATGAAGACTTTTAGGTTAGAAAGCTTGATTGGTTAGATTTTTAGTACTTTTACATAAATTAGTTTTATTAGCAGGAACAAGACAAATGTATAGCTAATTGTTTAGGGTGCCATGTATATATCATGGGTCATTCTCTAATAATTTAAAACCTTATTATAATACCAAAAAAAATTATTCATAAAAAGTCATCATTACGAGCAAATTGTTTTAGTCTATCATTTACAAATTTTCCTGGTCTTTAAAGTAACTTTTCATCTGTTAAATCTTACATCTAAAAATCACTAGCCATACTTGTTCTTTATCAGACTAAAAAATTCACTAAACATACGTGTTCTTTATGAGACTACAAAATTCACTAAACATACGTGTTCTTTATGAGACTACAAAATTCACTAAACATACGTGTTCTTTATGAGACTACAAAATTCACTAAACATACGTGTTCTTTATGAGACTACAAAATTCATTAGACATACTTGTTCTTTATGAGACTACAAAATCAGCTGTGTTACCTTAAGATCTCAGTTCTAATATCTTTAGATTTACAAAGACTTCATTAGTCGCATGTTTAGCCTAAGCATACACTAATGTATCAACTCACCTATATGTCATTAAAAAAACTTTAAATCCACTGAATTTTCTTTATTTGTTATTGATTAGCTCTTCTCTTCTTAATATCTTTAGATTTACAAAGACTTCATTAGTCGCATGTTTAGCCTAAGCATACACTAATGTATCAACTCACCTATATGTCATTAAAAAAATTTAAATCCACTGAATTTTCTTTTATTTGTTATTGTTTAGCTCTTCTTGAAACAATCACCTTTTCAAATTGCCCAAACTAATCAAATTGACCAAATTGATCTCTTCTGACTTTATCAATCACTAACTCATGTAATTAATTTATGATTTATTTTCCAGACCTACTCATCAACCGTAATAAATTTAGGCTGTTTAGACCATGCATCTCTTTCAAACAATTATCTTAAACGCCTTTTGCATCAGATTAACACTGTTATCACACTTTTTAATACTACCATAAGGCTGATTTATTCCTTTATTATCATTTTTTTTTTGGTAATGGTCTTTAAGCTGACGATTTTAGTCATTATGTGCATAGTAAACGACAGGGGTTGATATTTGACCGGGGTCGGGGTTTGATAAAATATAGCCGGGGCCGGGGTCCAGGTTTGTGACAGTAGCTACATAAACATTTAAACATCCTAAAGTATAATTTTTTTATTCAAAATTCATGTTATATTTTGTATATATATGCATAGATAAACATCATTATGATCAACATGATCATCATAATCATCATTACCATCATTATCATCATTATCTTCTTTTTTGGCAAATACTACACCATATAAATACTAAAGTTTATATAAATATGAAAGGATATTGTATGCCAGCATCTAAATAAATAGCAAACATATATGTTTATATCTATAATATGTATGCATAAAGCACATCTCAGAAGCTTTTATTCCTTCTGGATTAAAAGTTTGGAAGTTTTCATTCCTACTCTTCAAGTCAAACCTCATTCTACTCCATATTTTTTTTTATGTAATATTTAATAACATTTTTAAAAATTGTTAAATAAGTGGTTCCAATTTTTCAAAACTCTAGAAAACACTTTACCTCTCTAGCTATCCTATAATTAGTTTTCGCTCTGTTATTAGTTTTTTTATATAAAAGTTTTGAGACTATTAAATTATTTCTTACTAACTGCAGTAATAAAGTAATTCTTGAAGGCCTACGTTCTTCTTCTTTATTTCATATAACTTTAAAGGTACCAAAAGGTATTTTATGGTACCCTTAAATCTTTGCTCCTGTATTTTTTTTTATCTACAATATCAATCTTCATGAAAATTTAACATCTAAAGTGGCTCTATTTTTTGACGACTCAACTTTATACTCTTGTCTTGACAAAAAATCTTCACTTTTTGATTGCTTAGAACAAATAGCTAATTTTAAATCTAATATCTTCTGTAACAGCCTAAGGCTTGCTGTGGTTTATAGATTTAAATTCTGGACATCATAAGCGAGAGGTATTGAGTTCGATTCCCACCACCTCTGTGGTAGTACTGCGCTTAACTTGTTTCTCTACGCAGCAGCCTTGGTTGAGAGAGGGTTATAACCACAATTATGTAGCTTGGCTTAGTCTTCCACTCACAGTGTTTTGAGGCTATTAATTTAGTTTATAACCATAATCTGTGCGTTAAAGATATTATTGAAAAGGTGACAATTATTCTTTCGGAATATGA